TGTGTGTGTGTGTGTGTGTGTGTGTGTGTGTGTGTGTGTGTGTGTGTGTGTGTGGAACCTTGCAGGACAGGCAGCTGTCCTGTCTGATGGGAGTGCTGGCTGACTGCTTACATAAGAGGACAAGTCAGCTGCTCTCTGGCAGGTTGACGCTCCAAACCTCAAAGGAGTCTGGTGCGCGTGCGCACGCACACACACACGCACGCACGCACGCACGCACACACACACACACAGATGTGCATTTCTGAGTCACAGGTCCACCAAAGCAAACCACAAAACACGCTGATAATGACTGTAATAATGAGAACTTCCAGCAACAAAACGTTGTCTCTCATTAAGCATTTTGGAGTTTAAAAGATGTCTAAAACCCATCGACAATTTCCAGAAATGTTTTGGCTAAAATGTGGTCTAAAGGAGAAAGTTCTGAAGCTGTCGAACCACATAGGTGAGCAAACTAGAGATCTTTGTAATAAAACCACTACTTGATCTCAGTACTGTGTAATACTACCACAGTATAAGACAATCTGTGAAGAAGTTCAGTTTAGAAATTGCAATTCATGCCACTAGAACACATTTTCGTCTTCAAAGCTCAAAACTGTTTATATGCATTAGACCTACTTTGGGCGTGTTGATGTCCTCCACCATGAAAATCTGCTCAAGCAGGGATGCAGACTGTGGGAAAGTGCAAGCGTCGGAGGAGGTTTGGGGAACAGCAGGGGAGCGCAGCATACGAACGCCCTGCGGAAGCAAACCCACCTGGGCTGAACCGCTGGTCGACTGTGATGTGGGAGAAAAGAGACAGCCAGAGTTAACACTGTGCACGATAATAATGCAATTATATGAATAAAATCTGCTGTAAATTTGACTTTATAATACCAAGGCAAAAGAGAGGGGAAAAAAATCGTAAGCTTGTGAGGGAAATGAAAAAACAAATTGCACTGTTGGGGTGAGAAAAGGAAGCAGGCAAAGAAAGAGAGAATAATGAATAATGCAACTGAGAGAAAAACATTAAAATCAAGGCAGGCTGTGAAAGACTGCTAGAAAGCACAGAAGATCCAGATAAATAAATGATTGGGCCGTCTCTGTCCATTTGTTTGTTTCAGGATGCAGGTGTGAATAGCGGAGCTTTGATCAGTGGGGCACAGATAGCAATCAGCACACATTATTCAACAGCCCTCCTTGTTGCCCTGGACGGTTACCTTGATGACCGTCTGTTCAGCGATGGTGCTGGGCCGTCGCTGGCGGGCGTCGAGCCGCTGTTCCACAGGGAAGCTGCAGCGATGCGCCTTGAGACGCTCCACCAGCAGATAGTATATAGCAGCAAAGTGGTTGTAGCTTTTGTTCTGGAGCGACTGCAGGATGACAGAACAGAAGTGGTGGGGTTTGTACTGGAAGTTTACCCTCTTTTATTCTGATGACTTTATCGGAACAGCTCAAGATGCAGTGAGACTGAGGTAATACAACGTGGAGAGCGTAGTCAACATATTTTTGTGAAAACAAAAACACAAGGCAACACAAAAAATGTAAACACAGACAAGACACAGCCAACTGACTGATAATGCCTGTAATAACTGAGCAGCTCTGAAGGTGTAAAGGTCGGCTGTTCCAGATATTTGGTCACTGCAGGGCCTCTGCAACTCCTGTTGTTGGATTATGACACYTCAATTGATTTATAGATCACACTACTTTCATTGAGTTGTGAGACTTTAAAGTTCAGCAGTTTTGTTTTTATTTTTTGCTTCCTATATTGAAACGATATTGCTCTTTGAAATTATTCTGGCTTATTTTAGATGAGTCTGGTCTCTTTGTTCTTGTGTGGTGTCCCGATTACAGACTGACAAGCAGACACCTACCTCCCAGAGTGCGCTTCTTACTAAACTAAAAAGACTTTCCTTAATAAAAAAATCAGCAAATAGTTGAACTGTTGATGACAACCATACTTTTTTTTAAGCCTGATCTTTTTTTAGCTTGCTTAGACATTTTGTTGCATTATATACTGAAAGACGCAACAAACAGTTGGGAATAATTTTTCAGCACTTGGGAATCAACAAAGCACACTTTGTCTCAAACTGCTTTTGGGAAGGTGAAAACAAAATGTTCCAAAAAGGCTCTAACAGCTAAATGATTACTGCACTATTTTTGTTAAAAACACTTAACAGTTGGAAATCTGCAGCTTAATCGRGTTTTGATTGGCGCACAAAAGGCAAAAGTCACAATAGCTCAACTAAAATACTTTATGGACATGGCTGTATGACTTCATTTTCTTTCCTAAAATGTGCTCTCTCGCTTTTACTATAACTGCCTTCCTGAAGACTAACACTGAAAATTACCAGTAAATGCTTCATAACTGAAACCATTTTCTAAAAAGAAGTGGTACTATTCAAATATGTCTYTTTATTTATAGATTTTATGTACTGATTTTACATTTTCAAACTATTTTTTTAATACTATGCACAGACAGTCGGTCCTTACCTCTATAGTCTTGTGCTGATCAATGCCGAGGCTGTGCATGAGGCGAAGGACCTGTTCACTGTATTCTCCCACACCTGCCTCACCCTCAGCAGACAGCGACTTTTGGTACAGAACAGGCCTCTGCACAGGAACGTCCAGAGCCATCCACTTGTGCTCCTTAATCTGGGTCAAAGACAAACGTTTGGACGGGTCCAGTACCAACATCCTGCGGATCAGGTGCTCACAGTCTGCAAGGAACGGAAGAAAACAAATCATGCAGAGTATGACAAGGTTTTTATAACCTTATGTAAGTTAAGATGACTGCTTTTTAAAAAGAAACAGGAGGTTTATGTGAAAAAAAATTAGGTTATGATTAAAAAGTTCAACCACAAAATATTGTGTCCTCATCAAAGCAGCACAGATGAAGTGGGGCAGAAATAAGACTTTAAYAAGCGAAAATCTGCTAAATTCCTTTCTTAGTTGCTCCTGCCATCACATTTGACCAGCACAAATAAACTCCTTTCTACTTTCCTCGCTCCCTAATGAGAATTCCTCACCTTTAGTTAGTGGCTTGATGAGTTTGACGTCAGACACAGCTGGATTCTTAACAGGATTACAGTTCCCCTGGCTGCGGCGCTTAGACCTGGCTGAACCCCTGCTGCCTGGACTGCATTCCTGCCTGCCACACAGCATCCCCACCCATTTACTCTGCTGTTATTGTCTTAAAGCAAAACAGGTGGGCTTTGAAGAAATGACCCAGGAATCAGCTGTTTTGAAGTATCCCATCAGATTGAGGCGAAACAGTCAAGATGCATTTTGTGTGCCTTGTTTTCCTGCACTAACAAATATTAGAGCTGCACTATAGTAAAGCATGAAATTGCAATGTTGTTAAAGGGGAAATATCATGTAAAATCAACTTTTTGAGTTTTATATCATGTTATAATGTTATACTCTCATAAAAAACATACCCAAAGCCTTGCTTTGACTCATTCANCCCAAAGCCTTGCTTTGACTCATTCATGCATGTTTGAGAAATCCTGCAGCGTTTTTAGGAAGCCATGCTGAGGAGCAAAACGACAGGTGGGGACCAGAAATGCCTTTAGGGACCAGAAACGCCCCTGGGTCGTGTCTTTAAGCCAAGCTTCCTCATCATGGAGCACACCTCCCCACCCCCCACACCCCGCCCATGAGTCCTGCAGGCTCTCGGCAGTAACAAAGCAAAAGAGTGAAAGTGAAACTTAAACTGTCTGCTGCTCTTAACACTACTTCTCCCTCAGTGAAGCTCTTTTCAGATTCAAAATACCTTTGAGGAAATGTATTTTCAGATGCCAAGTAAACTGCATCATGGCACAAGCGAAAACCCCCCGGCACTGAAATGGATGGGACAGAAGCGGAAGGTAGTTCTTAAAGAGACAGAGGCCAATTTCAAGGAATTAAGAAGAGGAAGTGATGAGAAGATAAGTTTATTTTCTATTTAAATATAAAAACAGAATTTTAATAACAGCTAAAGGTGACATAGATACTTTATTATGGTACAGTATTTAAATGTATGCCTGAGAAACACATAATATTGGCCCTTTAAATATTGTGGTGATCATATAAGTTGCAATAAACTCACATTTTCTTCACTCCTCTTTTATTCTTTTGTCATCACAACTCTCCATGTACTTCTCAGCTACTATCATCTAAATGTGTTGTGGGTATTTAGGGCAGTGGGGGGGGGGGGGGGGTTGTGATTGTCAAAGAAATTGGGCAGTTTGTATTTACAATTTATTCCAATCCTTTTCAAAAAGTGATATTGCGCACACGGACACTGCAGTGAGAATAAATTATTATTAAATTGTGCATTCCTYGCAGACATTTTCTTCTATTACAAAATAACAAAGACCTGATAAGTTCATAACAGSGAGCTCTGCCAACATGAATTCTCCGCAACACATTTTTAAGTTCACCCTGCTGATCCGATAACTGCTTGCAACACATTTCTCTACGTTGTGCTTGGTAGTTCAATGTTTTTTATCCCCCTCCTTTTAGCATGCATAAACAGTTTGAAACCTAACTGTACTTTTACCTCATACTGTGGACTCTTAGCTTGCGCTGCTGGTAAGATAAATCCTGTTTCAAACAGAGTTTAAACCAATACATGTTTGACCCAGAGAATATTTACTTCTTTTGTTGTGTTTATGGTCTCAAGTGAGGTAAGACTTCTCATAACCAGAARGAAAAAGTTATTCTTCGTAAAGAAGTCAACACTGGAAATAGTAGTAGTAACCYGAAGGCTGATTGACTGACACACTGTTCTTAGTAAGAATGTTACACCACCATGACTTAACCAGAAAACCATCCCACTTAACACTTGTGTTGCTCCAGTGGTGTAGAGTTGCAATGTGCTCTCTAATAAACAGCAGTGAGTTGTGAAAAGCTGAAGAGAAGAAAGTAGATACAGATGCTTAAAGAATGCTTTATATTTTAAAACCAAACAAAGCAATCATCAAATATTCAGACTGTGGACATTCTTTACGCAGAAGACAGAATTGTGGGAAGCTCAAACCACCTGTGTTATGTGCAATAGCTGGAGAGACAAGAGACTGTGGTTAATATGCTTGGAGTAAAGAGCAGTAATCACAGGGTTCCCACWCCTTGGTRAACATCAAATTCAAGGACCTTTCAAGACTTTCCAGTACCAATTTCCTCAAATTCAAGAACCATGCGRGACGGCAATTACCTACTGCTACCACAGAATGTTACCAATAAACAGGTTTAATATCWTGTAAAMTCAATAAAAACYGAACGGCATAGAAGAAAGTGGATTAAATGTTTACCCTACATTCATGTCCACAATACACAGACATGTAATTATGTCCTGGGAGGTTGGGCGGCTCAGTTTGGAAGGAGGGGATGTGAACACGTCCAGATGCTCGGTGAGGACAGGAGGAGCTGTGGTGGTTTCACCTGAGCTCAGAAAGAAGGACCCGCCCTACTCTGCTCTGATTGGGTAAAACTATGACTATGGCTCATGTTATTTGTTGAAAGCCACYTCYGTTTACCGTAATCCTGAGCTATCCACCGCAACAAATGTAAGTTTTTAATTTAATTAATTAATTTATTTATTTATTTTTACAGATGATGAAAATCAGTCYTGTGAATGGAGAACTTCAATCCCCAAAAAACATTCAAGGACTTTCAAGGACAAGTGTAATTTTTGGRTGTTTTCACAAACTTTCCAGGGCCTTGAAATATTTTTTCAAATTCACAAACTTTCAAGGATTTCAAGGACCCGTGGGAACCCTGTCAGATGTTCCAATGGGGGTTTACACTATGGTACAAGGCTGTGCTGCGTACCACAGAGAAAAGAAATAGGATGGATGACTTCTGGGTGAAGAAATCAGCACACTCTGTTCTCCTTGTTCAAGGAACAGAGGCTGGACTGGGGGTGGGAAGGCGGGTCTGAGTGTCAGTCTGGCTCAAGAGCTGATATTACACTCCTACATTCCCTGTATGTCTTAATGATCCCCAACATAAAAATATAAACAAATCTGGTTGACTCTCACCCCACCCCAAAAGGAGGCTTCAGACGTTTAGATCAGACACAGAGAAACAGGCGGARAGGAAACTGTCTCACAGGTCAAAACCGTGACTCAAACAAGTCTTCTGAGGGGGACAGACAGAATGCTGGAGGGCTTCACTGGCTCTTCCCCAGGTTACATAAACAGCTCCAGCCCTGGACTTAATCTCCAGCTAACGAGCAAGCACAGCAGCTAACAGCAGGGCTGCTTCGAGACCTTCAGCCAACCTGACTCACTCTGCAGTCTGCATGCAAACACAACGCTCAAACACAAATTACAGCCGACGCTGACGAGGCTCTCCATACTGTATCCCCTTTAAATGAGCACAGGATTATTTCACTAACAAAATGGCCTCCAGACTGTGGCTGCATAACACTCTACCGGCAAACATTCAGTTATTAACAAAACAAAAAATATGATCCATTTGTCTGTGCATCACTCTACTTCACACACACACATTATACTAGAAGAGCACCATACACYAGTGTGCTTTTACATAATTATTTGGTACTAAGGTGTGGTTTGTGGAATGATTTCCTTATCTTAATTTGTGTTTCAAATCCAAGATCAAGGAGGCTGCCTCTTCTCACCTTCAGTCATGAAGTAAGGGATGCGAAACCTTCCTTCCAGGACTCTCTGTCGGAGCACAGGAAGAGTGGGCCCATCAAAGGGCAATGCACCACACACCAGCACATACAGCACTACCCCCATACTCTAGAAACAAGACGCACACACAGAGAACAGAAATCACAGCACTGAAATCAATCAGAAAACACACAAAAGGAAGTGGAGTTTCCCCTTCCTGTATGGAATCGTGACTTTGATAAACTACGAACCAGTYGRGTCTTCTTTTTATGTAATGGGTCATCTTACCCAGATGTCCAGTTGCGGGCCCTCATACTGCTGTCCTTCAAAAACCTCTGGGGCAGCGTAAGGCGGGCTGCCACACCATGTGGCCAGAGGCTCCCCAGGCTGGAAGAAGTTTCCAAATCCAAAATCTACAAATGGTCAAACAGCAGAGGTGAGCAAGTTGAAGATAATTTTCAACACCCAAATTAGATGATAATACAAAAACTCAGTTCACTGGTAATCTTTGCCATACGAAGGATGAGCCGTCTACTATAAGGCTGTGGTGACTGAAATGTTCAAGTATTTAAAAGACAAGAAAAAAGTAGTAAAATATGTAATCAGGAGTGTTTACATGGAGATTTTGTGTAATACTGTATGCAATCCACATTTTTGCACATTGAGGAAATGGGTCTTTGTATGAGGCAACCTCCCCTGGAGACTGACATGAGGTCATTAACGCTGGGCTCTGATTGGCTGTCTGCAGAATGACTAAAACTTTGATTTTCATTTTGAGAAGAAAGACACAGAACTAGCACAAATACACATAAAATGTCAAGCCTGCCTTTTATTAAAATCCAAGCAAACAGTGCAGTTAAACAATCCAAAACCAAGCACAGCAAACTCGACTGCCTGAAATCACTCAAGCAACCCATTTTTCTTATTATTTCAGATCCCTTTTACAAATTTGTCATTCTAATCCCATTCTATCTTGTGACTGTTTTTTTCTTTTGTCTTAAAATGAAAATGCAATTTTACATAAGAAGATGCATCTGTTTTTCCTGCTTTGTGTCATCGTATATTTAATCCCCTCATCTTTTAATGGGCACTGCAAGCTATTTTTATAGATTCGTGGTTGTTTCAACAATCGACAACAAATGACTCTGTGCTTAGTTATTCCATTATCAATGAGATGGTGTCATGGGACCAGACAGCTGTACTTTAGTTTCCACCCCCTCCCTCTTTTCATAATTTAAAACAGTTACATAAACATAAAAAAATCCCTTTACAAAACAAATTACAGAAAAAAAATCTATCTTATATAATGGGACAGGAGGTGATGTGGGTTCAAACAAACAAAAAGCTGTGAGAGTCTGACACAGATTAACAAACTCCTTTTCATTGTTTTTTCCTCATTATGAACTTTTATAATAAACCCTATAATAAACCCTAAATAACAAACAACACATTCTCCATCAAATTCTAACTGACTACATAACACAACGTAGTAAATTATCATGTAGTGTGAAACATTTTACAACTTTAATCATCAAAAAACATGAAGCTCAGGTCTTGCTTGTGTGAGTTTTGAAATGTTTAAATGTGGTAAAAACACATTTTACTTATAAATAGCATATCCATTTTTATTTTCTAAGTTTATTTCTAAGTTTAAATATCTGTTTTTATCTGCTTCAACACTTTTAATTCTCAAAAACCAGAATTAGTGATGTATTATGATGTATCTGCTGTTCCTTTCCCTTTTCCATTGTCCCCTCTGTAAACATGATTGGTATGATTTATACCCAACTTCAAATACACATGGAGGATATAACTTCAGAACAAGAAATGTTTCTTATCTCATTTCCTATTCAAATTCATCTTTGTCCATTTTCATCACAAATGTGAGGAGAAAAAAAAGAACAAAACAGATGAAAGAGACCAAGTAGAAGGCATGAAAAAAATAAGAAAACCTCATCATATATTATTTTAATCAAACATCAGTTCAAATGTGTAAATCATCTCACTATTGTCTTTTTGAAGCATTCTTTTTTTCTCCCTGCTAGATAAGCTTTGAAGTTGTTTGTGGTAATTCATTCATTTACGCAAGTTGACATTTACTTGGACAAATATACTGGAACTGGTTTCTGCATCAAAAAGAGGAGGATTGAGGGAAAACAGTCAAGAACACAAGATTAGACAAATAAGATCATAAATTCTACCGGTTTACATCTTTTCTGTTTTCTATGTTCAATAGTCAAAAAAATGCAGTGCTTCTGTCACTCTAATCCTTCGACCCACTTATGTAAAAAGGTCTTTGCTGCATGCCTTTACCAATCTTCTGACTGTTTGTTTTCAAATAATATGAAATGAAAAGAGAAAAAAAACCAAACTAAATGTGAAAGTGGGTGACGATGATGAATAATCTGAACTGCAATCTGTTCCTTTCTTGGAAAAGATGCAGGAAGTTCTTGTCCAAATACACACAGGAATCAGACTTAAGAGATTAAGAAAGGGCAAATTTAAAAGCAGACAGCAGATGTGAGCGAATTCAGTTAAACCGTTTAATTATTGCAGCAGGTGAGGAGAAAGTGAAGCAGGAGGTGAAGGAGTGTGTCACATTGAGTTTATGTTACAGTTCTGTTTACCGTCTGATGTTTTCSCAAAGGTAAAATTTTGAGATGCAGGCGAGTGAAAGCAGTGCAGCTGTTTTATCGTCAGAAGCTGTGACCCATTTCATGGAGCTGAATACTGAGCAGACTGGTTGACGTCAAACACTCCGGCACGCTGCAGGCTACTAACAGCAGTCACAGCTCTACAGGACAGGGTGGGGTGGTGGAGGAGGTACACGAGTGTCACATACAACAGCATTAGCATAATATCAGACGTGTTACACTGGAAACATGTTTCACAGTCTGTGGCTAATCAGTGCAAGTGAGTTAATCCTGCAGCTTTTAGAGGACATATTTCTATGGTTACAGCTGGAATTACACACTGAACACAACTTTAACAGCAGTAGGCCTCTTCTTTAAAACATTTCAATCCCGCAAAAAGTATTTTCTCTTTATCTTTCTCGTCACAATATTCAAAAAATTGTCTCATAGAAAATAAACGAAACTGTCTTCAACTTCCTTAAAACATTTCAAAATGTTCATAAAACTTTACTGCTTCGTTTTAATATTTTTAGCTTTTTTCCTACTATTTCAGTTATTTTCTGCAATTCTTCTGTTATTTTTTWAACTTTTTTGTTCTCTTTTATGCTGATTTAAGTCTTTTAGCAGATTTCAGCTAATAATGTTAGCTTTTTAATACTTACATACCTTTTTTACAGTAATTTCAGCTTCTGACTACTTTATTCAACAAACATATGCTATTTCTGCTTTTTTTGCACTAATTTCAGCTTTTTCAGCTACTTTGAGCTCATTTAAACGTTTGAAACTATTTTATTGCAAATTGAAACTTTTTTGTACTTTTCTCGTTCTGCTAATGTGAGCTTTTTTCACGTTTTTACCACCTGTCTGCTAAATCCAACTTGTTTCTGCTATTTTAGCCACATTTTTGCTCTGCTCAGCTCTTGCTACTGATTTTTCACTTTTCTTTTTTCCTGCTTTCAGGCAAAGTCAGCTGTTCAAATTGAAACCAGACAGTATTAACCGTTTCAGCTTCAGCAGTTTTCAGCTAAAATCTTTCAGCATTAAGTATGCAATTTTAATAGTTTTACATGTTCTGAAGTTTAAATAAATAAATAAATAAATAAATAAATAAATAAATAAATAAATAAATAAATAAATAAATAAATAAATAAATAAATAAATAAATAAATAAATAAAATACCAGAGTTCATCTTATCGAACATAAAAAACCTTAAAATATAAAACTTGCTTACTTAATCTTGATCATGAATTACTTGGAGACGTTTTAAGAATGTTACCACAACAAACACGTTTTTTGTCTGTAACATTGCAGAACGTGTCAACAAAGAGAAACTAAAATCTGTTTTACCAATCTGAGCAGGAGGATGTTTGTTGTGTCTACATTACTTAATAGTGCATAAAAAACCTTTAGGGTTTGGTTCACTTCAAACAGCACTCCTATATGAATGGCTTCAACTTTTAGAAAAAGTCAAATAGTATTTAACAAGACGTCGCCTTTTTAAAATGTGAACACATTTAAAAATACATTAATTTAGACATAATCATTACATCTTTATTATTTCCAATGATGAAACTAATCTACTACCACCACCACCATCAAAAAAAAAGAAAAAAAGAAAGAAAAAGAAACAAGCAATAAGAATGCCTCTTTTTCTAATCCCGCCACTCCCTCTTGTTTTTGTTATTTCTCCTCCGCTCTTTCCATCCTCTTCAATCTGTCAACTCGACCCAAAAAGGGTTGTTTGAAGTGAAAACATTAAGGGCACTCCCTGCTGCTACTGTTGCACTCTCCTCTGCAGCCGCCATGAGTGTGACCTTTCCTTGACTGACCACCAGTTAAGCTTCATACAGACTGACCAGAGGTGGCCTTTAGAAAGCTGGGGGACTCTGGCTGGACTGCAGGGAAAAACAGAAGTACTGACACTTTGTGTAGTTTTAAAAACAAAATTCAAGCAAAGGTTGAAACAAAGAAAATAATAAAATACAAAAAAAGGTTAACCAGTTGTTTATGTAATTTATCACACAAAAACAGACATCTCAAGAGTCATGTTCARAAAAAAAGGATGGATGAGGACTGTGGTGTTCTGCAACATAACTTAACGAACTTGACCAAGAGCAAAATATGTTCAGAAACATATTTGTTTGTTTGTTAGTCAAAAATTAAGTGTGTGCTCACTGAAAAAAAATTATATTGCATGAACTAGTAAAACCATTCTTAAACATATTACATAACCTGCATTGTTACATGCAGATAAAACAGTTTTTTTATATTGAACTGTTTCTATTTACAACACTACATAAAAATTCAAAGTGCTTGAAATTGAAAGGCATTTAAAATCATAAAACAATTACGAATTGGCAAAATAAATAAATAAATAAATAAATAAATAAATAAATTAGTATAGAGCACAAAATAACACTCCTATCGTAGGCTACTTAATAGTTTTGTTGCTGTAATGTAATGGGTGCTCTTAAATGTAATTTCTTTGTGCTCCATACAACGACAATAAAGGCATCATCYATCAATCAATCATGTATTAAGACAAGTTTGCTCCAAGTTTTCGTTAAGTCTGTAAACTAATTAGCAATAAAATATAAAAAACAATCAACAGCACTTTTAAAATAATTACATTACATGATCCTTTACATTGAACTGTATGAACATTATGAAGACAAAAAGCAGCAGCTAGCTGTAGCACTTTATGTGCAGCCTGGGGCACTTACAGCAGGAGAACAGCTGGCTGTATTAATAAAAGAATTTTATTACTTTCTTGTCCAGTAAAGTTAATGTATACTAAATGTGAGTTCTGAACCATTTTATCCTAATCCATCTGCTCTTACAGTTTTTCTTTGCAAGTTGGAAAAAGGCTCATTTTACTTTCCATCTGTCTGCTAACTAAAACACCCCTAACCTGACCTCAACAAGGTTCCAAAGACAAATGCGTCTTTTATTCATATGCCTCCGTCTTTCATGCTTTTTTGTAACTTTTTCCAGCAAATACATATATTTTTTAKTGGATGCAACCACAACAGGAGTTTATAATTTAAACAATAAATAAGCAAACAAATGATCAAATATTAATGTAATTACTTTCAGTAGCTTTAAATTCAAATCAACAAGGCAGTAGTAGAATAAATTTAATCTTTCATAGTGAGTCATTGATAAATCAATGGAACTAAATTAGTAGAAAAATATGAATAGTCTTATACAATAGATAAAGTCAAGCTGGCATTTAAACTCATCTAAACTTTAGGTACCATTTACCAAACTTGTAATTGCATGTTTTGGGTTTCGAGCAGCACAGAATGTACCTTTCTGCTGCTAAGAGACATTTTCCCTAATCACAAGTCAGGTAATGTTCTGTTCATTGTTTTCCTGCATCAAATCTAATCTGCAGTCCTGAAAATCAGCTGTGAGTCAGACGTGTTTGTGAAAATTACTGCTGGGGTAATAACATCTTCAGGTTATCATCTCGGAGCCTTCTGAGAAACAGTAAAAGGATGATTGCAGAAAGGAKCGGGCTAAAACGCACATTTCTAATTTATCAGTAATTTTAAAGCTGTGTTCATCTCTTCCTAATCTGCTTTTGCTTTCGGAAGATTTAAAGTTACTGAACACTTGTATAAACAAGGACTGGGTGGCTCAGTGGAAATTCTACATATCTGGACATTTAGAAACAATGACAAAACTCAAACTTTTAAAATATATTATGTAAAATCCTTCTGAAACAAAGCCCATTTTTTAGATGTYCATTTGTATTCAAAGTATGTGATATTTTTTACAGCTGTATTTTTAGCTGCCGTTTTAAAATCCCCTCACATCAGATGGACTTCATTATCAGTAGAGATAAYAACTGGTCTCAGCAGGTGCTGCCCTGCCACCTTGTATGCATGTTCCCTCACATTTTTATCCACATCTCTTTCCCTAAAGTGGCCAATTCATTTTATCACCCTTTTTCCTCCTCCATTAGGACCAAACTCATCTCTCTCACTTTTAAGAGGCTTCCCCTCTACTTCTGGGCATTCACACAAGATAGCTCCAAATGCTCCTTGTTCACTTAAAAAATTGACTCTAGTACTGCAGGCGTCCAGCCAAGTATCACATCCCTGCTTTTTATTCGATTTCTATTTTAAGACTCCATCTTTAATGTTTTCCTCTCCAAATTAAAGCTGAAAGGGGCTCGGATGTTAAAGCTTCTCGGATTTTCCATTTTGAAAACAGTCGGTCAAACCTCTGAACTCCTGGTGACATTTTAAGATCATAACCTCTTTCAGCCAGCAGCTATCTTGCAAACAACCCCTGGATCAATTCTTAACACCGCACAAATGTCAGGGGCAGGAAGTTCAGATATTTCTGAGCTGCATCAGGGATGAGATCATGCCATGCAACAAATCCAAATTCCCTCTGAAACATTCATTCTGTGTGTTTGCAGTACCTGCAATCTTGATGTTCATGTGGCCATCTAACAGCAAATTTTCTGCCTTCAGGTCTCTGTGAACGATGTTTCGGTTGTGACAGTACTCGACGGCAGACAGGATCTGCCAGAACTTCCTTCTGGCCTCCAGCTCGCTGAGACGGCCGTGCTTTGCCAGATAGTCTGCAGCCAGAGAGACAAGCATTGGAAAGAGGTGACGTGTCATGTTAGAACCACATGCAGATGATATTTTACGCAGATTACATAACCTTAAAGCTCATCAGACCTTCCAGACACAGTATAAGACATCACTGAACATCTGTGCTCCTAATATTTGCATTATTCCTCTATGTATCATTTGTGTTGAAAAAATAATTTACTTTCGCTGTAGGTCTTGGAGTCACCAGCTCTTCATTTCAGAATGATTTGTAAACAGATCCAGTTCAAGACGAAATTTATCTTCAGAAACCTTTATGCTATGTTGATGAGTAGGCAGAGACTAATGGTAAAGACCGCACAGTGTTGTCATAGTAGGAGGAGAGAAAAGATTCCTGTAAATGGATCGTCTTGCTGCAGCACATTGTCCACATGAGTAAAATTTGGATAAGCTACTAAGTTGTGGATTGGTTGGATAATAAAACCAAGTTTTACAACACACAGGGTAACAAGATAATTTAGACAAATCAAAATACAGATCTAGCTATAACCCTTTATTTATAGTCCCATGATTAATGAAATCATTTTATCTATCTGTAACAGAGAAGAAAGAGTCTGCAGTTGATTAGAAAAACACATAAAACTAAACGCAGTTTTGTCCCTAAGAGGGTCACAAATTCTTCTCTTTTGTTTTTCCAAGTGTCCAGATCAGTTACACTTCTCCATCACCTAAACTCAACTAAATTTACATTTATTACTCCTTTTTTTCCCCTCCGTACAAATCCTAATCAACAGAGAATTTCACAAGATGCATATTTTGCTGCTGTCCCGTGATCTTTGAAAAGTGTGGCGTTTGTTGTTGTCTTCAGGGTTCATCTTCACACCTCTCTGTCTAGATAGCTTGCTAACTCTTTAATTCGCACTTAGTGGCAAACAAGAGAGAACACTTTGCACTGGCTTTCCTCCCAGCTGGCATGGACACAGCGCACTGCTTAAACCTAACAACAATGCACAATAACCACAACAAAACCTGCAATAACACATGGCACAGATAAAGAGACATACTTACATGAAGAATGTAATTATCTGAAAATTATACAATTATTGCATCCTGGTACAGATGTAGCTGCTACGTTTTGCACTAAAAACATACGGCTGCTGTTTCACTGATAGGCAAAGTCAAGGTTAAAATACTGAAAGTTTGACATCAAGCTTTTGTTAGGATGTATGATTTCATGAAGCTGTAACATCAGAGACAGTGTGCAATCAACGAAATGTGAAAAATTAAAAGAAGTGCAACATTTTTCCTGATGCTTTGTGTTGTATAAACCTTTTACCACTTTTACAGTTTATGTTTGAGCGAAGGGTCAGCTGTATGTTGAGACACATTTTAGATGGAAAAATGACTAAAGCTGCCTGCACTATACCTCAATAATCAACAGAATGGTTCATCCTTAGTTCACATCTGACAGGCAGAGACCATGATTAGATAGTAGCTGGTGAATTTCATACAAGAGGCGCCTCAGTGACAAAGGCATCCTTCAAGCGTCATTGCTAATCAAAAGACACACTGGGGAGAGGAATGTGTCAAGGAGGTCTGAAAATGGCAGGGGCAGGCCTTTAATTGTTCTAGAATCAAACCCCTCCCATCTGTTGGTCTGTCTCCATCAYCCAAAACACCAGAAAACAATCTTCGGCTCAGAAAAAGTAGCTGCCAGGTGGCTAAAGAGCATCAAGTTACAGGTATATTCTTCAACCTARGGCCAGATAAACTCTAAAAATTCATCTCTGCCACAACAGAAGTAAATGCTATGATGTTCAAAAGACAATATACACTTTGACCATATTTGCAGTTTGGAATGTATAGTTTTCCATTTTTAGTTACACCTCTAGCGTAGTTTTGTAAGGATTAGAACTGAAAACTATTTTAATCAGCAAATATTTACTTTTTAAGAGGAAAAAATTTAACTTTTATAGAATTTTGGTTTTTAAACTTAACAATTTACAAGTTTCCAGGTATAAAACAAATAAAACAAACACTGCTAGAATATTTTATGCTTAGCTTCAACAAAATAATTCATTCCTGGAACAACAAATAGAAGCATTGTCTCATTCAGTGGCACTTGAACAAACCATTACTGTTAAAACTACCACACACACACACACACACACACACACACACACACACACACACCCTTTACCCCAGTGCCGCCGCCGCTTCTTATCTTCCTCGTTTAAATTTATGA